ACACACATATAATTAACTTAGCAGCATATGACTTAATTAAAATTATATTGTTACAATTAATTTCGGTGCTTGGGACCCATGTCCAGCTCTAATGGCAATTGACGCCTTTTTTTTTTCAAAGCATTAGAAAAATAAATTCAAATTAAATTAAATTAACAATGTCAAAGTCTTTGTTCTCCAAAATCAATCAACCACTACAAAATATAAAATAAAAATAAAAATAAAATATATGTATTTTCTTTTTTTCCAAAGAACTTTATTCTGAAAGCGACAAACACGTGCAATGAAGTTTGTCGTAATTTGAACATTCATATTCTAAAAAATGAATATTCCTTTTATTTTTAAATATTAATTAATAAGGACCCTTTTCCTTTTTAAAACTCCCTTTGGAAATAAAGAAATAACAGATAATTAGCAATTAATGTATATTAATTGGTGATTAGTATTTAATTAAATCGCCGGTGACGGTTGGTTACTTAACTTTTATATACATAAACCAAAGCATAAAATAATTTAACATACGTGTGGTATCATTTGTTTGACTTCATTGTCTTATTATGCAGTTCATAGAATGGCTAACATTTTCAAATATTCACCGAATTCAATCATTTAGATTAGATAAGGTTAAGCAATGGACCTAATAATATTTTTTTAAATATCGAGTCCATTCGAGTTTAGTCTATGACAACAAATATGTTATCTACGGTTCATAAAATTCAACAACCTTTTTTTTTTGTGGTCGGCTTTGCAAGAGGTGAATATGTTGACCTATGGTCAAATCGTATGTTTTGATTATAACAAACAATTTGTGTTTATCTCTAACCTAATCTTTAAATTGATTACACGTTGGAAAATGGAGTCAAAATTATTGAATGAGAAGTTGTCGATCAAGGAAGCTCAAACGAAGATTGATCGAGCACTCATGAAGACAAGCTTTACGTATCAAGCAACAAATCAAACACTTGCGCCAAAATTAATCGAAAACTTTATAACTAGATTTCTTTTGGCTCGGTTGTAAAGGTAAAACACTTTAATTCTTGGCAAATGATACTTTGCAAGCTCAAATAATGGTTTTCTCGTGCACAACAACACTTGCGTCATGAAAATGATTTCACAAAATGATTTTTCAAAAGGAAGTTTTTCAACCCATTTTTTGAAAACTATCAAATCTAACTTACTTTGAAAAATTGAGTAAAAACATCATTATTTATTACAAACAAAATAAAGATTGACTCAAACCACCTCTGGTAATCCGGACATCCGGATGGCGAACCGGACGTTCGGTTTGCCAGCAACAGTCGATTTTTTGACCGTTCTGATAGAGTTCTTTAACGGCTAGTTTTGGTCATCCGGTTCTGAACCGGACGTCCGATGGTCATCCGATTTGGCAGAGTTATTGACGTCTTTCAACTGCTATAAATACCAATTCACCTACCATTTGAAAAATAACTTTTTGAGCATTCAATTGATATTTCTTTGAGCTAACTTTGTATTCTCATATCGTTTATTATCAAATCATTTTGCTCTTGAAACATCATTGATCAAAGTTAATTCTTGAAAACCTTTTTATACATCAACGATTTACACACAAAACACTTGAACTTCATTCATTGCCATCAATTAAAGTGTGTGCCTACTTCTCTTCTTATACTTAACCTTGTATTCATTTTTCACTGAGAAGAGAAGATTTCATTTGTAAACTCATCTTGAAATTGTGGGTCGTGTTGAGGTCCCGTAAAGTTCAACATTGTATAATGATTGATGCTCCTTGTTTGTAAGTCATTGGAAGCGTTGTAAAGGATTGGATTGCACCATAAGTCAATCAACATAGTGAAAATGCATTGTTCGTGTCGGAGAGTTTGGTAACAAAGGACGTAGATCATGTTTGTGATTGAACCTTCATAACAACATCGTTTGCATTCTATCCCTTTTTTACCTTTTTTTTTTTTGATAATCAAGAATTGCATTCATGAGAGAATCAATGATTACAGACGACTGTTAAGCCAAATAGCTTGAGAGATAGAGTCGGGAAATCCCTCCCACCACATTTGAATGGACTCCACTTCCCACGCATGTCTAGCTAGTTCATGAGCTACCACATTCCCTAGTCTACTTACATGGCATATTGTTACATCCATAAAGGAAAACAAAAGGCGTCTAATATCAACAATGATTGAGCCCCAAGGAGACAGGGTATTAGATTCGGCGTCATTGAGCTGTGAAACAACTAAGAGGCAATCTGATTCAAAGACTAAACGAGATATTCCCATCGGCATAACAAGCTAAAGCCCTCAAAGTACTGCAAGAAACTCTATTATTTATGGATCGGCCACTTCCCATTCTCCTTTTGAGGCAACTATTAACACCTTTCCTGCTTGGTCCCTTAGAACAACACTGATCCCCACTTTGTGAAGGTGATGAAAAGTCGCACCATCTACACTCAGTTTCAAAAAAATTGTCGGAGGAGCTTTCCAAGCACAAAAGTTATTCAAAGCAGAGCCCAATTGAGTTTTGACCCCTTTTACTTTGTGCAAATTACGTTTGTTCCACCTACTCACTTATTTGTGTTGTCTTCTACTATTTGCTTGCTTATTACATTACGAAAAAAGATTTTATAACCAATTCACCCTCCTCTTGGTTAGTCAATCTTGGGTTTTCAGAATATTAATGGTCCATTGTTTATTTTTAACGATGAAATAACAACTCTGCTATAATTCAATTTCATTGAAATATACTTTTATTTATTAATTGATAGATAATTAGTATAAAATTAAAGTTTAGGTAATTATAGTTGTCATAAATTTTATTTGCTACATTAAAATTTTGATTATTTTTATATACTCGTGTTATCGTTCACGTGAAACCTATTTCACTTTCATAGCAATCTGAAATTTATGGTTTCATATTTGAACGAAGAACTTTCATCGTTAAAAAAGAATGGATTACGAGACAAACTTATAAATGATTGTAAGTAAAAGTGGAAGAAATATAATCTTGAAGCCATGGACTTTGCCCCCAAAATTTCCTCTTTTTCTTCTTGCTTAAACTTCAAATTGAACCGTTTGGCAGGTCTTTTGAAAATTCAAAAACTATTTTCAGACTAATAACAATTTATTTTTAAATATGCTTGAATAGTTTTTTGGAAGCGTTTTGTTTAACTGGAAAGAATTTTTAGAGGATGACCTAAAGGCTTGTTTAGCAACATCTTTGAAAAATCAGAAGTTATTTCTGAGATTAAAAAATTGCTTTTGAACTCATTTAAATAATTTTTTTGCAGTATTTTGTTTTGACTAAAAAAATATTTTTGAAGATTCAATTGAGTATTTTTGTCTCCCAGAAGTGTGTTTCTAACTGTCCAAGGGCTCATGCATATGAACATTATTTTAGGGCTTCAGCGGAATCATAAAGAGGCCTAATGGATTTTATGGCCCAATGGATCGAACTTGCCCATCCGTTTTTAACCCAATTAGTTATTAAAAGCCTTACTAACTCAGCATGAAATGTCCTGACTACTTAAAACCCATTACAACCAACTGGGCTGCCATATGCCTATCTCTTTGGTAGGCTAATCTAATTGATAAATAAAGAGTTATTTGCATGTTTCATCTCCAACTTTTCACAAAGGTAACAAATATACCCCTGACCAATTTTATTAACGCAAATCCATCCTCAATCTTTTGGGAATTAACTCCCTCTTAACAGATTATGTCCCTCAACCTTTTCATTTATAAATTGATGAAATTCAGTGATGAATATTCCCAAGAAATATGTGAACAAGAAGTTGGTTCGGTTGTAGTTGTGGATTATACTAAATGTATGATTAAAACCGATTCAATTTATAAATTTTCTATTTATAACTATTCGTAAATTTAACAAATCGAGTGCTAATATTTATCTTTCCTTCTCTTTCTTGTTACTTATTATTTATTTTCTTATCCGAATGCATATTGATTGTACGTTTAGATGGAATGAGTTGATAAAATTTAATATTTTGCTCTCATTCTCACTCGCTCCCTTGTTCCTTAATTTTTGTTTCACGTGTTATTATTATTGTCTCCTATTAAACAACACTAGAGATGAAATTACAATTTCAGACGAAATTTATTGGAGATTAAATTTTAAATTAATGGTCTATTCATTAGATATCAATATCAGAGAGACCAGAAGTATTTTATTTATATTATGCCAGAAAATGCTCTTAAAGATGAAATTTGAATTTGAATAATGTTAATTATCATTAGATATCTTAGATGTCTCTAATTGATTTATCATTTTAATTGCCATCTTAAATGTATAATTTCAAAAGATATATTAATTAATGTATTGATAAGCACAACATATGATGAATATTATAAGAATGAAATATTTTAATTCTTGAAAACCTTTTTATACATCAAAAATTCACACACAAAACACTTGATCTTCATTCACTGCCATCCATTAAAGTGTTTGCCTACTTCTTTACTTATACTTAACTTTGTATTCATTTTTTACTGAAAAGAGAAGATTTCACTTGTAAACTCATCTTGAAATTGTGGGTCGTATTGAGGTCCCGTAAATTAATGAGTTTTTTTATAATGATTTTTTAAAAAAATGTATAGTTAAAAAATATGAAATTTTTTTAGATGTATAATTTAAAAAGATATATTAATTAATGTCTTGATAAGCACAACATATGATGAATATTATAAGAATGAAATATTTTAGTTTTTTTTTTTTTAATTATTAATAATTATATGACGAAATATTGATTGTGCTTTTTCAAGGTAATCTATAAATTGAAAAGGACAATCTTGTTTCTTGGATAGAATTGGGGCATTTCCTACTTGGCTACAGGCTACTTTCTTCTTTCAGCTGATCATTCATCTCTCACTAAATCGAACGGCCAGGATTTGTTAGATGATGTGTATTTCGTTGACCTGCAACTCGCCGGAGTCCTCCTCCGCCTATCGGAGGTTTCCAGCGGCGGTGGAGGAGGGTGTCGCCCTGGCTCTTTGTCGTCGTCTTCCACGTATTCGATCGGGAAGAACAGCGATGAATCAGACGGCGATGGGGAAGAGGTACGGAGTGAATATAAAGGAGGGCCATTGGATGGGTTCGATGCTTTGGAGAAAGTTTTCCTATAAGGTACATATTTGTTTATTTTTTTGAGTTCACGTTCATTGTTAAATAAGTTTTGGGGAATAATTTAAAAAGATTAATTTTGCTTTTAAATTTGACGTTCCCTTTTTTCATTTTTAGTATGTTTTAGGGTTTTCATTGTTTCCTCTTCGTTGATTTTGTTGTTTAATTGCATGAAGAGTATCTTTTTTACGAAAAATAATGAACCTATGCGCGGCGAAGATAAATAACAGTTACATATATAAAACAAAGTCAATGGATTTTGTTTGGTATCTTGTCCATATGTCCAACTCATCAGAAGTTTTTAATCAACATAGCTCGATGCCACTGTATTTGAACCTTGGTTTCACATCGCTAGGTAAAAGCTTGTTCGAGATCAGTTAATAGCAAAACAAGTCCGTTTCCAGTCAAGAGTTGTTTGCTCCGGGGAAAGCATTGGTCTGAGGGTGCTTCACATTGCATTCAGTGAGGGTAGCTTCTGAGACTAACTAGTTTTCATTTGTCGTTCTAACGAATGGGGTTGACACTTGAACTATAGATAACATGGTGCTCACTTGATCAATGAATTATCTTTCTTCAGTTGTAGAGGAGGCAGTACCAGTGCTTTTCTCAGATAGTCAAACAAGGGAGGGAATAAAGAGGTGAATCGATAACTGATGACTTGTCTAGTTGAAGCTTCAACATTTTGATGTTGTAGAGTTCGAAGAGTATTGAAGCCCTGGCAAATAAGGAAATATACAGGAACTTGCTGCTATACAAGCTTGACTTACTTGTTTGGTATTCTTTTAACGAATGAAGCCATGTTTGAATTTAATTTAAAGATCATTAAGAATTCAAATTCAGTTTGGAAACCTATTTCTGTTTCAGCTTGATTTGGCCCATCTGCATCCATACTAATGAGTGCTTGGTTTTTCCAAAGATTATAAAGAATAGAAGTTAAGTTAGGACAACCTGTTTTAATCTTTCAGCTGTCTGGCTCTTTAGTAACATACTAATGAATGCTTGTTTCTATGCAGTGTGGACATAACACTGAATACTTATGTTTTCTTGATAACTATGAAGGAAGATTTTATATTTATGCATGTAACATCAAATTATATTAATTTTTTTTTAAAGGTAATCAAATATTTTATTAATCAATGCATAATACACAGGAAGCGAATTATTAATTTAAATCGGAAAGTAACAACATTAAATTAGGCAACCCATCTATATGCCTAGTAGTTGCAACATTAAACTAAGTGTACAATGTAAAATAAAATAATTCCCTATTCTGCTCTATTGTCCGTGATTGACCTTCAAAACATCGACTGTATCGTTCTCTCCACACACACCAAACGATACAGCCTAGAAAAAGGTCCCATACAAATTTGCTATCCTTGTCTCGAAAGTTTCTCCTCCATGCATTTAACATGTCCTCCATACGCCTCGGTAACACCCAATCCATGTGTTGCGATACCAGAATATCATTCCATAGTAAACGAGCAACATCACAATGAAGGAATAAGTGATCAATCGTCTCCCCATTCCTCTTACACATATAGCACCACTCTGTGACATAAAAACTCCTTGTACGGAAGTTATCTACCGTTAACACCTGTCATCTGACCACTGTCCATAGTAAAAATGCACGTGTGGGGGCAATTTACACTTCCAAACCATCTTTCGGGGGAAAAATCTCTCTACATGATTCAATAAGGATCTAAGATAAGTGCGAACTGAAAAAATACCATCTCGTGTCAACCTCCTTCTGCTACAATCACCTTCTCCTGCCCTGATATGTACCTCGTATAAAGATGTCAAAAGCAGTCCATACTCATCCAACTCCCAGTCCTGCAAACCCCGATAAAAAACAATGTTCCAACTAGAGCTTCTATTATGGATATCTAAGACATCATTCACCATGACATGCGGCTCCAGTGCAATCAGATACAAAGGAAANGGGGAAAAATCTCTCTACATGATTCAATAAGGATCTAAGATAAGTGCGAACTGAAAAAATACCATCTCGTGTCAACCTCCTTCTGCTACAATCACCTTCTCCTGCCCTGATATGTACCTCGTATAAAGATGTCAAAAGCAGCGCATAATCATCCAATTCCCAGTGCTGCAAACTCCGGCCAAAAACAATGTTCCAATTAGAGCTCCCATTATGGATATGTAAGATATCGTTCACCATGGCATACGGCTCCAATGTAATACGGTACAAAGAAGGAAATCCTACCTTAAGTGGTTGATCTCCACACCAACAATCATCCCAAAAGCTGATGTATTTCCATTTCCCACTACAAGAGACAATCGATCCCGAAAGTCGTTCCACCCTCGCCGGATATATTGCCACAAACTCACCCCATAAGAACCATGTCTCTCACCTGAGCACCATCCCCCCTCCAAAACATCCTATTTTGCCCCTATAATATCTCTCCAAAAACTAGGGGTGTCCAAAAGTCTCGAACCGAATCGGACCGAATCGAATCGAGTGGTTCTTCATAAATGAAATACCCGAACGGGTACCCGAATCGAGAACCGATGGGTTTGGGTCGGGTCTCGGGTCTAGACCAAGAACCGAAGAACCGAAACTAAATATTTTTTTTATTTTTTATATTGAATTAATTAAATTATTTTATTTTTTTAAAACAAATTAGCAAATTAATTAAATAAATCAGATTATTTCATAATTTTAATTTTAAAGCCCAAATTATTTTTAAAATCCATTAGCCCATTTTAATTTGAAGCAAATGAATATACTTTATGTAGTGCTACTGTAATATTAATATCTACTTTTTGGTATTTGTATGCATTGAATTAATCTTATTGGACGGCTAGTTATATATATGTTTTTGAATTGGGCTACGTTAATTTGTAAAA